AATTTCATGTTTTTCAAGTCTTGCAAGTTTCGTCTCATATTCTTGAAGTTTTCCAAACAAAGTGGCGGAAGTCATTGTGGATAGATTCTTCTTCTCGGATATTACCGTCACTATTGGTTGCCATTCCCTAGATAAAGATCTAAGCACTTTAATATTAAGTTCATCATTAGTTAAAGTCTTACCGAATACTTTCAAATGATTTATCAAATGCACAAATCTTTTCTGCAAGTCGAGGATTGATTTTCAGGGCTGCATTCGGAATAACTCGTACTCTTGACTCAAGGTATTCAATCTAGATCTTTTAACTTCAACTGTTCCTTCATGAGTGTGATACGGTGGGAGAAATTACTTGAGAATTTTGTGTTTGATCGTAAATGTTGCGGTTAGCAAGAGTCGCCACCGACTTTTCTTTTATCCAAAAGGAAAGGTGAAAAAGCACAGGAAAGACCTTTGAGATTGTTTCTTGAGTTCGGGGGGTAGATTATGAAAAGAGAAGGTATTAGAATCCTTTTCATCCATGGTTTTCCATGGGATCTTAGTTACTTTCTAGATCACTTGCTTTTGTTTGAAATTGTGCTTAGTGTGTTTTTTGAAAGTATTTTGTAAAGAGGCCATTGTTTAGGCAATCTTTGTAATGATTCTTGTTTGTAAGAATGTATACAAAGATGTTTGATCTTTTGAAAATGTTTTCAAGTTTGTAAGATGTTTGAAAGTGTAAGTGTTTGTTTTTAAAATAGCAAGGATATTTTTGTTTTGAAATTGAGCAAGTAACTAGGAACATTCTACCTACTCAAAAGTCTTTCATGTTCATTTCCTCTTTCCTTTGACATTGTTATCTTACCATTGATTTGGTAAGTAACCCTATCTTTGGATGTAAAAGAGACGGGTGTGGGTCATCGTATAACCATGATTAGCAATGTTGCAAGGTGTTTTAGTATTCTTTTTAGGTACTAAGATCATTTGAAAGGCAACTTAGATAGCGTCATCGAGGGACTATGATCTTATATTCGCTTGTTTTTGCTAAGATACCTTACATGTGTAATATGGCCATTTTGTATAAGACAACCAAGTGGAATAACTCTAGGGGTGCTTGTGTGCAAGTGTATTGTTTCCATGCTTGTTTTTGTCTTGAATTAGGGTTTTCTAATTGATTGGTTTTAGTCTTTCTATACAAACCCTAATTACTAACATGTTATATATAAAAGTGATAAATTGCGGAATTTAAAGTTACTAAGCTATTACAACATTTTGGAGGGGGGGGGGGTGTATAATTTGTAAATGGGGATTGCAAGAATATAAACCTAGTTAATATATTACAACCAAATTAAATTTGTATCAATGTACAAGAATCTAAATGAATATAATGTACAAAGAGAATAAATAAGTGCAAAAATGCAAAATATGAAGTAAATTGATATTTGTTTGGATTTCTTAGAGAAAAGGGATTTTGTATTAATACAATTAATTAAAAGAAAAATAATTAATGAAAAGTAAATCCTAAATTTGTTAAGAAAAGATTTTTAAACAAAACTCTAAATCTATTAATTAAAATAAAAGAAATTAAGTTTATAAGAAAAGTGTTTTTGGTATTTTTGTCTTGAAAATATTTATAGCATTATAAAATATTTTTGGCCTTTTTATATTAAAATAATATATTTTAATTGGTGTAAAAGAAAATAAATAAATAATCTAGTTTTAATTTAATTTACAAGACTAGTCCATAAAAATAAATAACGTGTAGTTAAATAAAATATTTTTTTGTGAGAAAAATAAAATAAACTAAGTTAAAATGAAAATCTATTTTTTTGTGATTTTTTAATATTTTTTAGTATTTAGAAAATATATTAAGAAAATAAAAATGAAATAAAAGAGAAAATAAATAAACTTGGGTCACGGGTGCAAGTAGTCCACAGGGGGGTTAGCTAGTAAAAATAAATAAAAAAAGAGACAACAAAAAGCCCAAAGTCCCAGGCGCCCTGCAAAAAAGGTCAGAAAATGCAAAAACATGTAAAAACACAAAAAGGGTACCACTGGGGCCCGAACCCATGTCCCAAAGGTTACAGGTGCGCGCTTCTACCACTGGGGTGGCTATACATCCGTTAACATAGGCAAATCAATAAATATGTAAGGCAAAACGCGCCCTGATGACTTCATCTTCAACCTCCAGCCAGACCAACTGTAACTTGCTCATTTCACATCAAAAATAAAAACTGTAAACATGAAACTTGTAGCAAATTTTATCACGGTTTCAGAAATATAAAACATTAAAACTATAGATCAAAGATAAGCATGAATTTTAATGGCCCTAATCTGAACCCTAAAAATCTCAGAAATTTCAGTTTCAAAATTCTCTAAGCTCAAGAAAAATTAATGGAAATTATGGACATGGTTAGCTTCAGGGCAATGATATCTACATGTTTTGTTCAAAAATAAACTATTGATGATGCCTGTATGAAGAGTTCAAAGTTGAGAAAACTTACCTCAAAACTGGAAATTGTGTTTTGAGTTTGAGCTTGTTTCAAGTGATGGTGATGATCAGGTTAGCTTCCTTGAGGTCCTAGGAAGCTAATGCAATGATTAGCTTGAACAATGGATGGCTGAAATGGTATGGAGAATTCAATGTGCAGAGCTGAGTTTTTGAAAATGGAGGATGATGTTAATGGTGTTACAGTTCTGTAACAAGGTGTGGGGTTGATTATATGTGATGTTTAGAAACTTTAGAAACCAATAGGCCAAGAAACGCACGAGTAGATTATGAGTTTCAAGTTTTTGGTCAGTTTGTGTGAAAATGGAAGTGTGTAGTGTGTTTCTAAGTTCTAGGTTCTTTCAAGGCTTGAGCATTCGTCTGTTTGTGTCAAACAGTTTATGTATGTATAAACAAAAGTGTTTGAGTGCATTGGCAAGTCAGAAGTACAAGTTCTTAGCTTTTGGCTAGGTTACTTGATTTTGAAGAAAAGAGGGAAACAAGTTTCAAGAAGAGGTACAAGCATGGGATGGGTGATTGTAAGTGTTTGAAACCTTTCTCATGGGTTATAGGACCCGTTTGATCAGAAGAGAACAAGTGCAAGGCTCAAGAACAAGTTTTGTACAAAAAGTCACTTTATCAAAATGGCAATGTGACCTTTCTTCCAAAAATGGATAAAAAGCATGTCCATGCATTGAATCTTGAAGTGAGGCCTCTAACAATTGTGTAAACCATTAATTATAGAGTGCCTAACAAGTTTGAGGCCTGCAAAGTAGTGTTTATGCAGCATAGTTTGAATTTGAATTTTGTTCATCACTAAAATGACTTGTAATAAAAGTGATAAAACCCTAACTTCATCTCTTCGATTCTCCCTACTCAAGATAGATCTCAAGGAGTTATTGGAGATTTTGGAAAGCTTGCAATGTGATCTACAACCCATATTTGAATTTATTTTGAAGATTCCCCTTGGAACTATATGAAAAAGTGCCATGAAGTTGGGTCAAAATCCTGACCAAATTAGGGCAAAATTTCACTAAGTGTTTTGTTTCACGTCCTTATGTTCTTAAAATTATAACTTGAGATCCAAGCACTTTTGGAAGGATTTGTATAAAGAAAAGTTGTAGATTTCATGGAGATCTACAACTTTCATGTTGGAAGTTTCTTTTGAATCATCTTGCATCATGGTGAAAAAATTGTTCAAAGTTGTGAAAAAATATGAAATTTCCAACACTTAGAAAAATTTCTAAGTTTAGAAATTTGACTTTTCAAAATGAAATTTTGACTTTTTGATTTCTTGATGAATAAGTTTCATATTTTGACATGTTTTGATGAATTATGATCTTTGGCACTTGAATTTGACCAAAAAGTCAAAGTTTGACTTTTCGGTATACAGTTGACTTTTGATCAGTTGACTAAAAAATTCATCTGTCAATCCAATGGACTTGCAATGTTTTGAACCATGTCACTAGGTCAAAATGATTCAATAGGACTCTTGAGATCATGCTTTAAACCAATTGACCATTTGCTAGGTCAAAAATCAGAAATTGGCCATTCCCAGTCAAAACCCTAATTTTGACCATTTTGCCCTTTTGGAGATTTGATCAAATTTCTTGAGAAGTTATGGTCCAAACTTGATAAAATGATACATATGAGTCTAGAATGTTGATGTGGATAAAAAATTATGAGGTTTGACTATAAATCAACCATAGTTGACTTTTCCCCTAATACAACTGATTTTTAGGTCAACTGCTCAATTGACTGAGCAAAAGTGTGATTCAAGGCTTGAAACTTGTCATGAGTAATCTTGGGGGTCCAAAATGATCTATTAAAGTTGTATGGGGCATTGGAAGCTCAAAAATCCTTGTGCAAACTCAAACCCTAATTTTGGTCATTGGTGCTTAGGAGGTGTCTTGAGCTGATCAAACCCTAATGCACTCTTGAGTCAAGGGAGATCTTGTGAGCAAATTCTTGATATGTGAGAGGGCAAATTTTAGGGTACAACAATGAGTTTCTACCAATGTATACCATATTTCCTTTGTCGTTGTGCATGACGAAATACGAAAGAATCCATTCATACTAAGTGCACCTTGAAGAAGATTGATTGCCTTTTTGTCATAGAGGACTTTTTTCTTATCATTGTTATCCCATGAACCTTTAGGCTTTTCCGTTCCAACACCGTTAACAACACTTGTAGGAACAAAGGGGTCATTTTGGACAACATTCATGCGGATTTTTCAAAAATCAAAGTATTCACCACAAAACAATGGAGGCTTATTATTGCTACCACCGTCTCTAAAAATCGGCTTGCATTTGCGGAAGCCATTCTAGATCTTTAGGAACACGTTACCTATAACATGATATGATGTCAATTGTAAGTATTTAGTGCGCCTAAGAGGGGGTGAATTAGGTACTATAATATTTTTCTGGTTTTAGTAATGAAGGATATTATTTTTCTGGTTTATGGTGATGTTAAGAAAGTAATAAAGTGAAGTAAAATAAATGACACAAGGATGTATCATGGTTCCCCTCACAGTACGAGAGTACTCCAGTCCCCTTTCAACACGAAAGAGATTTCATTATTGTTAGATCTCTAGAAGATAACCTAGCTTTTCTATACAAGACTCTAACCAATAAAACCACTAAGAACAATCCTCTTGGATTTTCACTAAATACACTAAGAGAACAATCCTCTCTTAATGACTCTCTTTCTTCCAACAATCCTGGACAGAAATATACAACCAAACAAGTAGAACAAGAAAATAATCATTTCCTTTCTACTCTCTTGTTTCTAACAATCCTAGGGAACAAGAAATTACAAACCAAATATGGAAATTATTTGAGTAATAAAGTTGATGAGTATTTATCAATCACTTAGATTTATCTTCTCTTTCAAGTAAACAATTCAGAATATGATACACAAGTGCTCATGAATTATGATGTTGAAACTTTATGGAATATGAAAATGATATGTGATAAGTTTCAAACAAAGTTTAAGAAACAATGCACTTGTATTTGTACTTTGAGATAATAATGTGTTTAAATTATTTTGAAAGAGATGTTGTGTTTTACATCAGAAATGAAAACAAAATTTATACATGTAATGCACCCTTTCAAAAGCCTCTAAATGCATAAAAGAATGTAATGGTTCATGGTCAAGAGTTGCAAACCAACAGCCATCATAACAAAAAAAAAATCAAAATAGCTTCAGTGGTAGTCGGTTACGGATCTGTAGTAACCGGTTACCCAGTTCAATTAACGTTCAAAAATTTCAAAAACACGAAGTTGTAACCAAATACCAGAAGGCAGTAACCAGTTACCACTGGATCAAAAAAAATTTCCAAAATTATTACAAAGCTTGTAACCGGTTACCCATAACTAGTAACCGATTACCACTGATATGGAAAGTGAAAAACATTTTAAAAGACTTGGAAATGAAATGTTAATGATCTTAAAATCATGAAACATGTATACAAAATGTTTAGACATATTTTGAGCACTTAAATATCAATATGATAGAATTTCTTGCTTGTACCTCAAGGATGTGATCAACCATTAATATCCAAAGCTAGTCTTCATAAAATGAGAGATTTGAAACTCGATGCTTTAACTTTGACTTGAGGCTTCTACCATTCTTTTGCTATGGACATTTGCTTCTAAGTTTGTCTTCATCAAAATTAATATTTAGAGAGGCTTGACTTCACAAGGTGTAGGAGTAAGGTATAGGTGTTGAGCGATGCGAGGTTGCGTAATATTGTGGGTCTTGCATGTATCAACTAATATCACGACTGAAAGGCCACCAATGAGGCCTTTAGACTTGAGGGTTTTAGGAGAGAATTGGCATGTCAAAGCTTGAGGGGACAGTTGAAAATATGTATTGGTAAGGTCTGTTGCTGGTTCAGAATCTTGGTTATTTGTTATAGTACAATTCTCCTCAGTTCTGTCATCTTTAGCCATCAGTATGCCTTATTTCTCAAACTTAGTTTGGTAATCCACCACAGAACCATCTTGTTTCAATTTAAATAACTCAGTTTGATGATTAGCATAAGTGGAGGGCCCAAAACGTAATTCTAAGGCTTGCGTGAAAGAGTACCAATCTGGTAATAAATTATTCTAATGCATCCATTTAAACCAACACAAGACAACTTCACGCATATGAAATGAAATTAAAGACAAGAGATTTTCAGGGGGCAGATTATAAAAATTGAAAAATTGATCTGCTTAGAACAACCATTCGAGTAGGTTTATACCATCAAATATAGCTAACTCCAAATTAGGAGTTTGAAAAGAGGGTAGTGGGGAAATTTGGGACAGTTGAGTGTATGGTTGTTGTTGGGAAAAGGGCATTTGCTGGGAAAAAGTCATATGTGGGTGAAATGGCGTATTGTAATGTTGTGAATGTGTAAATGTGTTGGATATTGGTGGTGGTGGGGGCAGGTTAGCAGCCTGACGCAACAAGGATGTGATTGTTGTTTGAGGTGTGGTGGTCGAAAAAAAGGAAGATTGATGGAGGGGTGTGTTAAGAGGTGAACTGATGTGGGAAACAGGGGCATTAATCATGGATATAGTGGAAGGTTAGAGAGATATACCAGCTGAACTTGTTGCAGAATGAACAGTAGTCGTAAATGGTTGGGATTTTTGAGCAACAAGCTTTGCTAAAATATACATCATGGAGTCATATCTTGAGTCTACTACCTCCTTGTCCTTGTCCATTCGTATGTTAAGCTGCTGCAGATCTGGGGCAGCAAGGGCGAATCTCTCATCAAGTTGGCGTTGGGTTTCTTGGAGAGCATTGTCAAGATGAAGGATGGATGTTTGAACAGCTGATTGGACAGCTTCCTCAATGATGTCTTTAGAGGATGGATTGGAAGGTTTAAGAGGAGCCATGAGAGGAAGGAATGAAAGCACCAAATGAATGATAGATGCTAGTTAAAGCTACATTAAGATCTAGGGTTGCATAAGAAGAAATAACATAGACAACTTTTTTCATTTCATAATCTTGCAGCAGCAACTATTACAACTTATATAGCAAGGTTAAACATACTAATGGGCCTTACGCTAAATGGGCCTTAAAACACAAAACAGAACAATACTTAATAATAAAAGGAAATTGCTAATACACTCTTAATAGTTTATTTCAAAATCCTTCAACCAGCTGGACTTTTTTAAATTCCTTTTGGGCTTAAAGATGGGCCTGCTAACATATGCTGTCTATCGTAATATTGCTATCAAAGAAGTATCCAATTACTCACTACATATGGAGCAAAATGCAAGCACGTTCCATTGCACCAACAACTCAGATTCTATTCTTCAATAATTAATTTCTCTTACGTCGAAGTTACATTTTCATTCATCTTTAGACATTGGAATAAATGAAAGTGTCCCAAAGAGTTAAGCTACATACCAAGAACGGTTGCATGCACAATATGGAAACATGTTTCCATTATTATCAAGCTCCTAATCCTAGAGTTTGCTTGACAGTTAGTTCATGATTCAGTGGGAGAAAAAAAATTGTGTTTACATTGATATGCATGAGTTTATTGTATTAATCGATTACGTCAAGCAACAACTTATTGAAACAAAAAAGACATTTGATATAAATAGCAAGGATAATCACGCAAACCACTAGCTGCAAATAACATATTACATATTATACACAACTGAAACCTAGACAAAGAAACCCAAAAAAATAATAGGGACTGAAGGCTCGAATTGTTTCACTATACATACTAATAGAAAATACAACAATCACTGGAAGGAATTTAGTCTAAAATTATGCTTGGTGGAAGGTGTACACTTAGAGCTTGCTCTAGACAAGTGACAAGTTTCACAATAGAACTAGCAGTGAGATTGTATTTTCTCTGGACTTCACTGAATCCACCACACAGAACCTGCTCAACCCAATTCTCCACCTCTGTATCGCTGTCAGAGACATATGCGGCTGCCACCAATTGGTCCGTGACTTCTGTTTGGATTTGTAAGGCACACTCGGAACCAAGAATTTTGTTAAAGTTACTTCTGACCAATTTCAACAATCTATCCGCAAGTGCATCAAAATCATATGGTTTAAAAACAACTGTTTCATCAACTTGATTATACAAATCTTGCAACCAAAGGTTTTGGTTCTCAGATGAGACATTTTCGTAGTTTCCATCATCTGTTTGTTTCTGTTCATCCTCTTCAGCTGGAAGATTCAAGTCTAAAAGCCAGTTTGATGTTGTATGTGGCCTTTTAGCCGTATCTGAGAGAAAATGGGGATCGTGAAGTTCATTGTCACCAATCAGTTTTCGTTTGTTCATGAAATTTAGATTAGGAATGACATCTATTGAATTGTTAGATACACTGATGCTTTGGCTTCTGTTGTCTCTAACCACGTGTTCAACTTTTATCTTGATACCTAGTCCATTTTCCCTCAGTATTCTTTCCTCAGAATAGTAGGAAGCTCCCCTTGTTTGCATCGAACTATTTTTGTAACCTGAGAAAGAAAGCACAAATATTGCATTGTTTACACTAACTTCGCGTCCATGCGAATCTGTGATTTTTCCTGTCTTGATGGCTTGAGACAAACTAGTTTGAGCTACTATATCTGCTTTGTCAACATTTTCAACGAAAACAACAGACAAGGGTTTCTTGCAGCACTCATCTACAATGAAATCAAGATTAGTCTTCCCTCTAAATTTCTCGTTGCATCCTACCACTTCTTCGGAACTTAGATCCACAAAAGTAAAGTTTTCCCGGCTTCCATATAGTAACTCAGCTAGAGAAACCGCAATTTTCTTTTTCCCACGCTTATCAGGTCCAACAAAATTCATCCATCTGTCCCCCCTCTGATTTGCTCCATGGTCATTATCCCTTTTTGTTGAGCAACCGGCTATTGTTCTGATAATAGCCCTTATGGCTTCATCTTGCCAGCTTACCTCCTTGGAAAGAGCTTCAAAAATAATTTTAGGATTTCTTGCATCGACTTGTCGACAATAGTCATAACTTAAGCAGGATGAAGATTGAGATGGATGCTTCATGATATTCTCTTCATCCAAATTAAATCTTGAAGAAAATCGATTAGGGGTTTCCTTTGGAGGCTCCACTGTATATTGAACTGCAGGTTTCTTCAATTTATTGCTGGTAGGAGAGGAGCATATTCCTAAGCCAAGGTCCGTGGTTACTGAAGTCGCAGATGTGGGAGACAGTTGACTACCATCGGACACACTTGAACTGGACATGTTACATGATCTTCGGTCACCTGTCTCGAGATCTTTTACATTCTGGAACATCTCAGTTAGTTTTGGAGTATTGTTTTCCTGCTTTGCCATGAAGAGAGTGGAAAAAGAACTTCGGGATTGTAATGTTGCCATTGATTGAACATCAAGGGGTACATGAGAGTTGAGGTTGATGTGTTCAGTAGGTGATTTCTCTAAGATTTTGCTTCTGCAGTTGTCAACTTCTTCGTTTTTGTTGTCAGTGGTACAATGAAACCCCACAACAATTGGACAAGTATTTTCCTCAGGGATACGCTGATGCAGAACTTGGCAAATGTTGTCCAAGTTAGTATGCGGCGTACAAGATTCACTACTATCCACCAAAACACCATCTTTGGTCTGCACTGAATGAAAGAAAAGTGGTCTTTTACACAAAAAATGAAAAGGTCTAAAGACGTGGTGAGAGAAACAAAATAAAGCAAGCGAGGCATTAAAAGGAGTGGAAAAAAAACAAGATTGAAAAGGAACCGGAGATGATATAATAAACAATCAAATGAACTACAGTTAGTAATTACTATAAAAATAAAACTAGGTATCATTTATCATATGACATGTCATAATAAATCTTTTGAACAACAACAATTGTAACACCAATGATCTATTGATCTTCTGTCAATATTACTACGACCACTGATGGCAAGACAAATAAAAAGTGCAAAAATCTTAAAAGACTTCAACTTATTGAATTTAACTATTTAAGCACATGCTACTAGAGTGACCGGTAAGCAAATACAAGCAAGTAATCCCAATAATTGCTCATCCTCAGTGTTTACTACAATTATGCACATGCATGTTATAAGAGATAAAGGGAAAAAAAATCAATAATTATAAAGCCAATTGAAAATTAAAAAAATAATCACAGAGGAAGTAGGTCCACTTCCTCAATCAAGCTCCTTTAATCTTTTATTTTCAAGGGAAATAGCTTACCATAAATATATTTTCTTTTAATTTAATCCATTTTAAGGTTCGTAAATAACCTCGCCACTCGATAAGAATTGGCCTAATAATAATACAAATAATTTATACTGAAATTACGTAGTAGATTTAACTGAATGATACACACCTTAACATTCAATGCTATTGCAGTACCAAATTCTGTAGTCTTTAACCATTGAGGTAAGCTAGATGGGTATGGATCAGGAGCCGAAACAGAAAATCTTTCCTTCGAAGCAGCAAGGAATTCATTTTCACAGCTCTCACCATATTGATGAGAGTGAGGAACACAACCAAATGAGCCATTTAGTGGCCTTTTCAAATCAGACTGTGATGAAAAAAAGCCACCAAGTGGTACAAATGAATCCATTAAGCTGTAAACCAAACAAAAAAAAAAATTGTTTAGAGAAAAACCATGATAAACTAATAACTGTCAAAGATGCAATTAAATATTATTTAAAGAATAGAAAAGAAACACGAACATAAACAAGTAATCACAAGGGATGTATGATATACTACCTTGTTCTGGGGCTATGATATGATTCAGAAGGCTTAACAGAGGTGATGGGAAGAATCTGCAAATCCCAATCTTTCTCCACAGAAGGAAACCTACCCAAAAATTTCAAGTAACTCTCGTAACTAGAAGCAGAACCCACCAACCAAAACTTATCATAATGAATCTTCAACAATTTCGCCAATTCTTCAACAACAGTTTCCCCATACCCACCTTGACAGTTCACCAAACCCTGCAGCTCCCCAAAACTCACTATAACACCGGGTCCAGTACACTCCTCCGCCATAACAGCAATCTCCATCAACCTCAAACCAACTATCTCACCATCACCACTCTCCAATTCCTTCCCAATACAAACCAGACGCAGCCCCGCAAGCTCGAGAGGCAAAACCCCCTCCCTTGTTTTCTCCACAGCCTCCGTAAAGGCTCTCAGTGCATCATTGCCACACGCACCGAGAAGCAGAGGATTCCTCCCTTTACTCCTCACAAGAATCTCCCCAATCCGCCGGAAATTATCATCCTCATCACCAAAACCAGACAAAAACGGAAACCCAAACCCAAACCCCCGGCGAGGCTGGTCCGTTAGGTTACATAGAAAAATAGGCGGACCACGGGTACGGAAGAGATGCGGAAGAGGACGAAGTATTGCCAACTTAATCTCAGAGCTCCGAAAACCCGCTTCAGCGAAAACCCGACTAACAACCGGGTCATCAAGGATAGACAAAATCAAATGCTGTAACTCAACTTTAACAGAAGAAACAGAAAACGTTTGCTGATTCTGCAACTGCTGCTGCTGATGATAAAAATGAAAATTATCAGGATGACGCCGCTGATTCGCCTGAGACCGTTTCACCGCCGCCATAAGCGAGTTAGAAACCGGCGGTTCATGATCAGGAGAAACATTATTATGCGAAGAAGGTGCTCTATCCAACGACACCGATAAACAGAGATCAAGCGCTTTAAACTGTAACCGCGGCGAATAGGCTGAGTTTCTCGAACGACAGCACGCGTCGCGGAGAATCGACGAAGACGGCAACGATAACAGTGCTGAAACTGCGTGAAGCGACGTCGTTTGAGCATGCCCGCGGCGTTTTGCTACAGCGACAGCTTCGTCTAGTGCCCGTCCGGCTTCCGGTGTTAAGCATTGCCTCGCCGCGGATACTGGCGTAGGCATGGTTGGTTTT